ATATATACACTGATACAACCATATTGTAAATATACGCTCTGCAACATTTATTTTAGTTACTCTCCAGTTTCCACTCATTAAAAATAACCTGTGTATAAAATGTCGAACAAAACTTTTGGTGTCTAATTTACATATAATCTCTTTTTCAGTCAGCCTTGGATTTTACTATTTTCGCAATGTCTCACCAAGAAACTAGAGTGTTCTTAATTGATAATAATAAATTAATATTAATATTAGGCAGGTAGTAGGTACCTATAATATTATCTATAATATGATTTTTTTATCGACGTACACCTATTGATATTTGTACGGAAGTCGTGACCGTATTCACAGGTCAAATTTATTCGAATGTACAAAAAATTATTATGACGTCATAAGATTGTTTATTTTTCAACGTTTAGACGAATTTAACCTACAATAACGGTCACGACTTCCGTTCAAATATTATTACACTACTTCTTACACGACTGGATTTATCTACTTAATAATATTTTATTTTTATTTTCTTCAATTTATTTACAATCTATACAATATAATTAGCATAATAAGCAAATTTGATACTTCATAATGGTTATAGTGACAGGAGATTATCATTTGAGTCTTTTACGTACATTACGTGGAAGTGAGATGGAGACATAAAATAATAATAAAATATTTTATATTTATTTACCTAGGTAGGTACTATTGTGTATAACACTAATACACTATATTTAGTATTTACTATACATGAATCGACAGTGTCGAGCATAGAGTGGTATGATAGTAGGACAGCTATTTATAATAGTATATATAGGTAGACCATAGACGGTATAATATTTTAACTTATATTTATATATTAACACATAATGCTACTTTTTTAAGCCTTTATACTAGTAATCGAACATTTTATCACATAAAATATTAATAAGTACAAATACACGAATAAAAAAAACTAAATTAACAATTTAAAATGTCTTTCAATAGCTCAAAAAGTGCCAAAATATTTTGGAAATTATCTAATATTTAGAAATTGCTAATAAGGACAATACAAATTTGTTGATAATGTCAAGTATCTTTGGTTATTACTTATTAGTTATTTAATAGTGTAATAATGAAAGGCTTGATGCAACAATAATAAGATTAATCGTAATATTTTCGAAATTGACTAGAGAAATTCGAACGATTTCATTGATAAAAAAAACATGTTGTATACATTTTATTTTTTAAGTGTTTACAGTTATTCGTTTTTGAATTACAACAAAATAAGAAAATCATTAAACGATAAATCAAGTAAATATCCAATGATGTACAAATATGAACTTCAAACGCTCATAAAAATTGAATTTTATTTTTCGATTGAAATTTTTTGATTATATAATAATATTTGTTTTTTTAAAAATTTTGTTTTTTTGTTTCCGTCATCGTGGTTTGCGGCAGTGAAAGTGTTTCGATTTTCTTCAACAACAACGTTTCTGGTAGGAAAGTGAATCTAGTTAGTGCGTTTGTGAGGTCAACATTTAAAATTCAAAATAGTTTTCAAAAACAACAGGAAAAACAAATAAAAAATTAAGGAAAAACGTGAATTTTTACGCAAAACCAGTTTTCAAACAAATCGATGTTGGTTTTTATTGTAACTCTAAAAAAAATGTCTATGGATACATGGCACTTTTACTGAATGTTTGTGTTCGCATTTTCTATACATCTTAAAATTTTCAACATTTTTTGACTCGTATTGAATTATTTATAGGCATATGAAATTTTCGATTAATATTTGTTTTTTTTAAACTGATGTCTATAAAAAAATTTCGCTTTGTCATAAAACTTTAATATGTCATACAAGGTTCCAAGTTTTTGTTAGTGGAAATTTAAAAAAAAAAGTTGAGAGTTAATCCACAATACATTTTTATGAGCGTTTAAATTTAGAATTTTGACAAAATTCGTAAAAAATACGATAATTAGCAAATTATTTTGTGTTAGAAATGCATTAACATTTTTATATTTATGTTTAAGCTTTAAAAATTGAATACAAGATTCCAAGCATCTTATGATAGATTGAAGTTGAAATTTTTACAACATTAGATACCTAATCACTCCATTTCTCAAGTAGTGATTTTCTTATTTTAATTCAAAAACGAATAACAGTTAACACTTGAAATTTACACAACAGGTTTTTTTATCAATTTATATACTTGATAAAGTATACAAAATATTTTGACTCGTTCTAAGCTGTCGATGGACATTTTCAATTTTCATATTTTTTTTTATGTTAATAAAATTATATTGGTTGTGTCAAAAAGCATGAAAATTTAATACAAAACTCTTAATATATTGTTTTCATTTAAAGTTCAAATTTAGACAACATTTCTCAAATTGATAAATTATTTTGTAGTTAAAATAACCTGATTGGCAATTTCACATATGTATATTTAATATTTTTCTTGCATCGCTGATAATTTAAGAATAATATTAATTCAAATATCGTATAAATAATAAGTAATAACAATATAAAATATTCTAGACTGACATACCGCCTTCTCTCAGAACCGTTTTTCGTATACAATGACATTAGGATTAGGTATATCATTTAATTCAAATTGTATATCATTCATGATAGCGACCTTATCTTGACACCTAGTGTACAGCGGAACGACATATACCTTCATTTTATGTTTACACAATATTATTTATGAGTTTATGACCATGTCAATATTAAAAAAAAAAAATTATCTCTGATATTATCATAGAAATAAATGTATAATTTTGACCCTAAATTATGACGAATTATCATTACAATATTTTTTTATTGCTATCACTTAATCGTGATGGTTTTATTGAATGATAGATTACTATTAGATACCTAAGATATGGATTTTATATTTTTGTGGCATATGGATTTTGTAAGATGAGTAAGTGTATTTTAGATGAAAAAGAATATTATGAAGTAATATTCATAAGGTAAGAAGTCCCCCGCTGGTCTGCTTACCTTTAATATATTCAGCATCCCTCCTCCTCCCGGTCAAAAGTTGAAATTACGACTATGCCCGCACAGAATTTAAAATAGAGATTAAATTATAGACTGATAAGTGATAACCAGCAATGCCACACAGCACACATTTACGGCGTTGTAATAACGTTGCAATCGGCAGTTCGCAAATTTGTGATATAATTAGCTACAAATTACCATCGCATATTTTCTTGTGATAAAATAATAACTGCAATACATTATAATAATACATAATATTACCTTTATTATAATGTATATTATTGCTTACTGGAAACAATAATATTTGAACAGCTAAACTAAATATTTTGAAATTAGTGTGGGATCACATCGTGTCGATGTCATGTATATGCTGATAATAATCACGAGTTTGTTTGTGCTTTACAAAATGCTTCGAGTTCGCTACATGTGCACCTATCTATTTGCCTATTATAGGAAGTAGGAATTTAATGCATTTAACGTTATTCGTGTGCTTTGGTGGTGGTACGAGTTGACTTGAGATCGACAGCTGTATAATATGTCATGTATTGTACTGTTATTTATTATTAAATACATTTCAAATTTCAATATAATATTAATTATTAATTAACCGTCTTAACCGGGTAGAGACAAATTTGCCTATTATACATTTAAACACAATTTATTAATACTATATTTTTCATGATACATGAACATATTCAAAATGTACTTTTTATAAATTTATATTTTTATACCTGGGCAGTGGGCACCGTAATAGTTTAGGGCCCCGCTCTAGTTCATTATTTACTTTTTAGGCAATATGCAGTTTCGTCGTTGCTGCCCATGCCATTTGTATTTGTCGATAATGATGATTAGTGTGAGTGTGGCTGTATATGGGTACAGGACTATTTACACACGCGCAATATAAATTAGTATAGAAATACTTACAAATAGAATTGTTTTTATTTTGCAAGTTAACAATAATTTAAAAAATAAATTTATTTATTAATAAATATTGAATAAAAAATTACATAAACAATAATAATAAATAACAGTAGTATAGTATAAGATAAGTAAGAATAGTTAAGTATTGTTACCGATGATAATTAATGAGTATTAACTGTGGAAGATCATAAATAGTTTTTAAAAATATTATTACCTAATCAAAAATAATAATTTTTAATTTAATTATATTGATAAACTTACCTTCAAAGGAAAAAAAAATAACTTGACGCACACTACAAAATGACAAATAATATCAATATCAGCAGCTATCAATGAATACTCAACTGCTATTCGTCATGATGTCACCAAGAATTATTGTAGAAACTAGATATACAGTATTGGTGATTGGTGTTATGAAATATATAAAATTAAAAGTTGTTATAGCGTTGGTTTCAGACTTCATATTATAATGTTAAAGTTGAGGTATTTATTGTATTAAGGAATTAATTGTTTTTATATACTTTATTACTGTGTGCTGAGCTCGTCTAGATGAACTAGATGAAAGACCACTGTAATTGTAGTTTTTATAATTAAATGTATGCTGAATATTTGAGTATTAGTGTAGTTAAATAAATGTATATAAGTCAATAGTTGGTTACAGTTTTTTCCTTTTTCATATTTTCTGTTCCGACGTAAAATGTATGTTCAAATTTCAGAGTAAAGCAACTGGGCAAGATATTTTTCTTTTTTAACAACAAAACTGAAAGATGTGGAAAGAATATAACCCGAAGAATTTTCATGTTGATTTTATTTTTCATCGATTAAATTGATTCGTTAAATGTTATCTTTATGTTTTTTTAATAATAATAATTCTAACATACTACATAAAATCAATTCAAAACATACACAAAATATTTTAATAAGTTAATAACTTTATGTTATTTTAATATTATTAATTGGTTTAAATTAAAACGTTAGAAAAAAAACTTGATGAACACATTAAAAAAACATTACACATGTAATATTACATATTTAAACTAACTCCAAAATATTTATAATTGATATTTAATTAAATAATAGCGTTATTATAATATTGATGATATTGCTGTCTGGGATATTTTAAGCCTACAACCTATTAAAAATATCAACTTTTAAATTTATGAAAAATACAACATAAGAATATTTTGGAACTCTTCAACATCAACTTCTTGGATGACTTCAACATTTTTTGGTTTTTTAGTTGCGTGTGAATAATCTACGAGTAGCCCTCCGCGTGCTTCACCCTCCATGATAGGTGTCACATTTACAACGAAAGATCTTGTAATCAAATTTGGCCACAACATTATAGCTGCGATTAAAGCGTCGCAAGGTTGCCAAGTTGCTAATTTTTTAATTTTTGATTCAGCTCGATTTAAAAATGTTATCATTTTCGTTTCAAGAAGACCAAGTACATTTGTTCTCCAAGACTAAAACAAAAAAAAAAAGTTAATAATAAATTGTTCAAAGTCCTTCTTAATTTTTTATAATTTACCGCTGGTATCTCAAGTACTAAATTTGTCTCCCAGGGTAGTAATGAAATGGCTACTCCTTGAGTTGAATTTAAAAATATAAAATTACTTTCTGGATCAGCACCAAAATTAAATTCTATACCCGGGCCTCTATTCCCATAGCCAGTCATACTACCACCCATAACATAAAAATGCTTGACTTTGTGAACAAATGTTGGATCCAATGATATTGCAAGCGCGATATTTGTTGTTGGTCCAAGAACAACTATACTCAATTCACCAGGATATTCATTTGCTAAATCAATTAATGCAACTGCTGCATGCTTTGATCTATTAATATTACCAGTGATTTCTTCATTAAATTCAAAATCACCAAATCCATCTTCGCCAAAGAAATAATCAGAAGTGTGATTCTGTGTCAGAGGTTTCGAAGCACCAGAGTAAACTGGAATCTACAAAAAAATTAAACTCTTGGTTTAAAACTGATGACAATAACATATATTATATTTTCTTTTTTGTCAAAGTTACTTTTGTTGCATTTGCTATTGTCAGTGTCTTGAGCACATTTTGCTCGACGTTTCTCAAATCGGAGTTTCCATAAACGCAAGTTATTGCCACAATATTAAAATACGAGTCGTTGTAGGTGGCACTCGATGTTAGTAGAAGCAACATTGCCATTGCATCATCAGCACCAGCATCCGTGTCAACCACAATGTATTTATCACTTTTCACTCTAGTAGAAACAATTAAAATGGGTTCTTATACATGTTTATAGTTAAAATATGTAAACAACGTATAATGCTATATATTAATTTAAAAAACAATATTTATTTTAAATAATATTTTTTTTATTTAAGCTTTATGATAGTTAATTTACCCAGTTAAAATTATTGTGATTAAAATTAATCCAAGTGGAATTAGTAATTCTTTGGTTTTCATCATTGCTGGATGCATGTTGCTTGTTATTTAACCTATAAAATAATAAGTATGCTGTGCATTATGTGTTCAAATCAAAGATTGTACATTTTTAAGTTAAAGTTACAACGAATTAAAATAATTATAATAACGGCTGTTTACAAATGTACTCGTTTTTTTTTTTATGTTTGGATTTATTTGACAACACCTAACCTATAAGGGCATAGTATTAAGAGCAGTTGTATCGTTTCGTGTTAAAATAATGATTATTAACTCAGCGATAGATTTTGAACAACTGAATATAACGAGGAACATTTACCTAATAAATTAGATAATTAATTATTAATGAAATATAGAGAATATGTATTCGTGCAGGGAAAAAATATAATAGCAATATAAATACATAATAAAACATATTTAGTAATATAGGCTGATAAACAGTATCTGCACAGAATTTTTTCTTATTCAATGATATATCAATGAAATCAAATTTAACAATACTTGCTGGTTTTGTTATTTTATTGAAATTTAAAACAAGTAAAATTAGATATTTGAAATTTAATTAAAATATTTGTAATATAAGATTTAATTTAAAGTTGTTATTATAATGGGAACAAAAAAAAGATGATCCTTAACCCACATTAATCGTTTATGAGCGTTTAAATTTAAAACTTTGAAGAACTTCGTTCACCAAATTCCATAAAAAACTTTAACATCCATACATAAAATTTGAAATTATATTAATACAAGGTTCTTTATAAGTGCGTATATGAGCGTAAATAAAAAAAAGTTGGGCATAAATCTACAATATTTGTTTTATGACCGCTTGTACTTATTATATAACAGATTAGGATCATAACAATTTGCAAATCATTTTGTAGTTCAAAATTTTTAATATTCATAGCTTAGATTTGAAAATATAATACAAGATTTTTCGAAAGTTGTTATAATTTATTTTAAAAAAATGTTGAAGTTAATATTAGTTAAGTAAGTGAAGGCCGTTTTTTAAGTTACCCATTTTTGCTGGTCAAAACTTTTGCCCCCTCTGTTAAAAACTGAAATGATACCAATGCTGTATATACATATATATGTTACGGACAATATGGAATACCGTGCAATGTGTATATTGCCCGGTCGATGTGGTCTTGGCTGGGCAATGTAAGCCATGCATTTTTCTTTAACTAACTAATATTATTTTTTATTATTATCATAAATTATAATTATTACCTATTTACGGACTTGATTTTTTTTAAAACAATCATTATTACCTATTTACAGACTTGATATTTTTTAAAACAATCATTATTACTTTTATTCATATATCATAATACAATAAACTTTACATTTCCCGGGCAGGACCACATAATATAACATAAACGTTACGTTACGCATACGTTACGCTTATGTATACAATATACATATACATCATAATATAACTTTATTTGTATAGAAAGCCTGTGTACATTTTATAAATTATTATTATTATTTACTATTGTACATATTTTTTTTAAACAAATAAAATGTTATGTATAGTTTGTCATTTTGATTGGCTACATTTTACTGGTACATACATTTTTTACAGATATATTAAATATTTAAAAAGAAAACAAATCTTTGGCACAAGCTACCTCGGGAGAGACTGTCAGAAAAGTATCTCATACATATAGGTACATTTTTTTTCAGCTCAAGAAAAAAGAATATTTTTATGGATTGCCATTATTTGATTACCTCATATTATACAACCATTATAATTAGTAGACATTGCATACATTTTTTTATAAATAAATTTATAAAAAAAACAAATCTTTGGAAAGGGCAATCGGGGTGAGACAGCTAGTAGATAATAAATAAATATACATATATATTATACAATAATACTCACGCAAATAATAATAATATTGAACGTAGCGCAGACTGGACAACTATAGTAGGTAGGTATATATAAGCAAAATTGCAAATCAACGTGTTTGTGCTGCAAGACCGTGTGCGTTTTAATACAGTGGTTGTTATGGTAAGAGTAGACTATAGTTTCGTTCCCTATAATTTATAATTTAGAAATTGGTACAACATTAAACAGTTATTTGAGTCGATATAATAATAAATAAGCAAATAGACACAATACTCACAAATAAAAATAATAATATTGTAGCGCAGATTAGTCAACCAGTTGATGTAAGAATTGCGAAATGCGAAACGATGCGAATTCACGTGTTTGTGCTGTGTGGACAAGTGGGTTATAAAGACAGTGGTCATGGAAGTAGAAAAACAGTTTTGTCCCTAGCTAAAGCAACGCCGAGTGGAAGGAACAAATACAGGACGGCAGGGGGCGAGGGCGAAAATTTACCCAAACCTAACCTATCACTATGACCGTTTTCTGCTAAAGGTTATATCCGGTTTCCAGCGAAAAAAATAATAGGTTACTCATATCATTTTACATATGTTTTGAGAACCCCTGAGCCTTAATCGGGAGTTACTGGTTCCTGCCAAATTAATATTGACCTTTTCCACCATAGGCCTTTTCCGCCAAAAACAAAAAAGTACGATATCCGTTTTGGCACCAAAAAAAGTTTAGGAACCAATGGTTTTAATTTTTTAAGCAATAAATGTCGTATAAAAATAGTAATATTACATGTAATAGCAATGATACTTGTAAATAAAGATAATTTGAGACCATAGAGGTGCCATAATATAGGTATATATTCATAGGTATATTAAATTTAATAATTTTTAAACAGTATTTTATATCATTGGTGGTAAGGAAGGAGAAAAAGAATTTCTTAAGTTTATTTACTACTTTTTGTTCACCGATGCAAAAAAACAGTAATTCAGAATTTGCGTTTCATGTAAAACATATTATAGATTAAAGTTGTGTACCTCAACGTGAAAGTCTGTGTACTTAAGAAGATTAAAGCTATTCTGGGACATCCAAATTACACAATCAAATTAATTACCCATTACTCATTAGTCATTAGTCATTACTAATCAATTGTGTTGTCAAATATCAAATGATTCATATATTTTTTAATCTATTGTGAACTAACATGGAGTTCTGATTCTTACTGTCTACATTTTCTAATATTATTTACATTTTTAACCAAATAGGTAAAGATATTATAATGTATAAAAGTAAAAAGAAAAAAAGAATAAAACTTCAGTGATAATTATGTGTCTACGTTCCTGTTTTTTTTTTTTGTTATTATGCTCCTTTTAAGTATTAAGATTTTGTTTACTCGATCTAATATTATTTGTTCGGTATCTTCTAAGCTTTTAAATTCTATATTTGTTTGAAATATTGTCAGCCTTATAGATTATATTGGTACAAGAACATATTAGATTATTTAATGGCGTCTTTTCGGGCAAAGTGTACCAATAAGTGTGCTGACAATTTTGCTCGACATAGATTTTTTTATTCTTTGTATGCTATAAAATGTCATACAAACCATTTAAAGTAAATCAAATGAATACTAAAATAATATTTAACATGTCATTTGTATCAAGCTATAGGAAACTATAATACTCATCCTATCCCTCTATCAGTATATAATCAATGACCCCTTTTTATATACCTACATATTGTTGCGCGTGTCACAGGCAGTGATTCAAATGGTGTAGATTTTTAATTAATTTATGATACATTTCGACATTGGTGATTGCTTATAGAAGTTTGCTAAAATTCAAGTTTAAACACATTTGTACGAGCTGTGTGTAACGTGAAAGTGCTTTGTGACTTTATGATACATAGCCCGCTCCACTAAAAAAGTGTTATGAGAATGATCTTAACTACCTACTACTCCTAGTATTATAAAATAATAGATTTTTCAACATTTATTTTTATTTTGAATTATCAAATTATTTTGTAGTTTAAAATTCATAAAAAAATGTATTTTTACCTGCATCCAATATTTAAAAATTAATACAATTTCTAATCATTTTTTGTTGTAATTAAAAAATGAAAACTAATAGGTACTTGAGATTTTCAACAAATGTTTATTTTCTAATTTGTTTATACACTGTAATGTAAACACCATAACAGTTTTCATATTTTTATAATTATAATATTACATATAGTATTATATACTATATTACTATACATATATCATAAACACGAGTGTCATCTTTCATTCGTTCTGTTATATCACGGAGTAAAGTAGTATGCATAACTATTTTGTATAGTAAACAAAATTTATAATAATCGTTCGGCCTGCTAGACATACGAGTACGTCAGCCGAACTAGTCTCGTTTCATCACTTGCTCCGAGTATTGTTGCTGCCAGGTCATCGGTAAAGTAAAATAATTTATATTACATTTTGTATTACATTTTAAATATACGTTAAATTGTACTCGGTTTAACTAACTGGCTTGTCCAACATCCAAATCCTCTAGCATTCCATACATTTCTCAACATTCAGATAATGTTCTTACCATCAAGTTTCATAATAGGTCGATTCACTCTAATTTTTAAACTAAAAGAGCTACAAGTGTTCTGCCGAGCGTAATTTTGCTATATTACGCACTGGTAATACGGAGACAACAAATACTAGTGTTACGTCCTCTTAAAGAAAACCCAAATATTTCATGTTCTCCTTGACTCCTTCTATGTTTTTCATTCAGAAAATACTCGAGTAAATACAAATGTGAATTTTATTTTTATAACTATTAAATATTAATTACAATAATTTATTATTTATTATTAAATAACTTTATTGCAGAATATAAAAAACAAATGAAACTGACAGCTATAATTATTTCTTGTACTTTTGTAAATTATATGAACACAAACATTTATGAAATATGTATACATTTAATATATATTTTAGATTCTGATCAGAGCGATGAATGTATTGCTTGTGATTGGTACAATGATGTGTGTTTTTATATTTACTTTTTTTTTGTCTGTCATCATCATCATCACGGTTTCTTGTAGTAAAAGTGCTTCGATTTTCTTCAACAGCAACTTTTCTGGTAGGAAAGTGAATCTATAATTAGTGCATTCAGGAGGTCAACATTTAAAATTCCTAATAGTTTTCAAAAGCAACATGAAAAACAAACAAAAAATTAAGAAAAACTTGAATTTTTACTCGAAATCCGTTTTCAAAAAAATTGATTTTGGTTTTTAGTGTAACTCTAGAAAAATGAAAATTTCACTGAATATTTATGTTAGCATTTTCTATACACCATACAATTTTCAAAATATTTTGATTTGTGTTGAACTATTTATAGGCATGTGAATTTCCTATTATTATTTGTTTTTTTTAAACTAATCTCGATTAAAACTTTTTGCCTGACCAAAAACTTGTAAGTGTAACACAAAGTTCCTTGTAAGTTGTTGTTAATGGACATTAAAAAAAAGTTGAGAGTAAATCCACAATACCTAATTGTTTATGAGTGTTTGAACTTATAATTTTGATAAAATTCGTAAAATTCACGAAAATTAGCAAATTATTTTGAGTTAGAAATTCATAAAAAATTTTAGTTTTATATCTAAAATGTAAAAATTTAAGACTAGATTCCTTATAAGTTTTTCTACCTTTATCAAAAAAATTTTTTAGTGGAAAGTCAAAATTAAATTTTTATGAGTGTTATTGGAGTTACAAGTTTTACAACATTGGATCATTTGATTCTCATGTAGTAATTTTCTTATTTTGTTGTAATTCAAAAACGAATAACTGTAAACACTTGAACTTTACACCAAATGTTTATTTCATCAATTCGTATACTTGATAAAATATTCAAAACATTTTGACCCTTTCTAAGCTGTTGACGAACATATTCAATTTTCATTTTTTGTTCTATAAATGTCAATACAATTTTATTGGTTGGGTCAAAAAGCATGAAAATGTAATTGAAGAATCAATTAACTACATTGTTATCATTTAAAGTTCAAATTTAGACAAAATTTCTTAAATTGAAAATTGATAAATGATTTTGTAGTAAAAAATGTATAGCTAAGGATTGAAAATTTAAAACAAGGTTCTTTTAAGCAGTTTTTTCCATAACTAAGAAATCTAAGAAATATATGAATACCGAAGTTATCTTTTTGCAGACATTTTAAGTTCAAATTTTGCACAAAATTGCATATTAACACAAAGATAAACGTTTATCATTTTGTTGTAATTCAGTTCCAGAACAGCTCAATTTTACATAGATAGGTATATTTAATATTTTCCCTACATTACTGATAATTTATGAATAATATTAATTCAACTTACCGGCTCTACCATATTAATAATATTAGTAATAATACAATATAAAATATCCTAAACCGACATACCGCCTGGCCTCAGAATCGTTTTTCGTATATAATGATTTGCTATTATTGAATTCAAATTAATACCATCCATAACAGCAACCTTCTAGATACCTAATGTAGAGTAGAGTGACATCCACTTATCCGTTTAAAAAAAAAAAATATTTTGTTTAGTTTCCTTTTAAGAGGACGTTATATGCGCATGTGTTAACCTCTGTCTTACAAATTCATAACATATAGCAAATCTTACTCTCAGCAGATTAAATTTAGCTCCGTTAGTTTAAAAATTAGTGTTTATTGACCCCTTATATACATTTTAATGTAAGATTGCTATCTAGTCAAAGTCATTTACTTTTTATTTAATTTTAATTTTAAAGTGAGTTCGGAGCATTATAAAATTGTAAATAATTTGTGCATTAAACATTTAACTTGCCCAGCCTAGTTGAATTGTACAATTCAGAATGATACAATTTACTCTGTTATTTTTTAATATAATAATGAACTATCCATCATCAAATTTGAATATAAAAATATTATTTAAGATTAAGGCATAAGTGTTTTTTGATACTTAAATTTTTAAAAAGATAAAATTAAGCAAGTAGGTATTTTAAAACTTAAAAAAAATTGTTTTTAAATGCTCATAATATTATTTAAAATTAAAATATCAAAAAACTATGTACTTCTGCTCTAAATAATATTTTTAAATTTTTAACAGTCAAATTACTTTCATATTCAGAGTACTCTAAACAACAGAATGAAAAAGAATCAATTTTTTCCCATGTGTGGTAGAGATTGCTACCTGTGCATTTGTTAAATGTTTCACTTACCAAAATACCAATAAGCATTCTATTATGTTTAAAGGTTTAAAGTTTTTCGAATACACTGTCAATTATTTAAAGTTATTGGGATAGGAACAACTGAATAACAATTTGAAATTTCTGAAATGAATAAAAAAATATTTAAGAATAATTGTTTTATTAGTTTTTACATCAAAATTGTCAATACATCAAATATTTTGTAAACAATGATTTTTTTCAAAATAAAATATTAACTAAAATTACTAAATTTTAACTTATTAATAATCATAGAATAATAGTTAGTAGGTCTTTTATCTCTCAAATTGAATTATGCTTATATATTAGTATAGTAGTTTTATGAGTATTAACTGTATCAAAATAAAAATCATAGAAAAATATTATTGCTAAAAGTAACAGTTCATATTATTATGTTTAGTGTTGATATACCATTGTCCATTAAACACTTGAGTATAATATATGAACAATACACAATACATGGCAGTATGTAGTAATTAATAATACATAACAAGTAATGATTTATTCAATTTTAAAGTCATGTTATTAATCCATATTTTATATCACAGAAATGTTGATATTATAAAAACACACGAAAAAGGGTGATGAAATGGAGTTTGTTGAGATATTAGTTGGGATCATTACACAATGTTTCGACCTAATTCGTATTCAGAGGGTAATTTATTTATTAATTTTTAGGTATATTATATGTAATTCGTATATATTCAAAATAATTCATTATTTTAAAATGTGTAAATACTAAGTGTACATTACTTATTACATCCACAGTTAATGAAATTCGTACACAAAAATTATGTGGACATACAGATTATATAAACTTGTTACAATACTATTACATGAACTATAAATTATTTCAACTCTTCAGCCGATTCAACTGGTCTTACTGTGTGGGATAAGCTTTTATCTTTTGTTTCCGGGAACAAGAAAGACGTTGCCCCAGCCACAGTCGATATGATTCCGAACAATAAGATCGGTACGTATTGTCCAAAATAGGCACCCTGTGAGACAGTATTTAAATAATTGTATGTTTGTGATGTTATATACTAGTCATAATATTTTTTATGTGAGTTTATCATATAATTTAGCTATCAAAAAATGTTCATGTACATACCAACAACGTCATCTGTGGAGCGAATAATACACCCAATCGACCGAACATGGAAACTATGCCTATCAGTGACATACGCATTTCGGTTGGGAACATTTCTGCGGTGAATATGTACAAGTTGTTAAATGCCATGGTGATTGCATACTTGCTGCTCAAGAACAACAATAGTTGCGCCCATACATAATCTGTAAATTAATAACACGTAGGTCGTAGGTACATTTTGTTGCAAAGGCCACTTAAAACATAACCAAATTGGTGTATTATTTAAAATTTGTATGATAATATAGGTATATATAGGTATATATACTACGTAATATCAGAGGCGGCTCTTCGGGGGATACTTTGAGACTGCGTCTCCCCTTAAAAAAATCCAGCTACTCGTTAATAATAATCTACAGAAATATTTTTATTTGAATTGAAAATATATTATATCGTTTTCATCGTTCATTATTAATTATTATAAATCGAAGGTCATGAAATTGAAAACCTTTTAATAATTATCTCGATGGCAATACTATTTTAGTCTTCCTACGACGGTCGCCGGTTCAGTGAAACAGAAGCAGTTTCAATAATAACATGTATATGTGTATATATATAACATGGCATGGCTGGTTGTGCAGAGGGGGCCGGGGATAATAAGCCACGTATTATAGACGATATAGAATCCGAGTTCACGACATTAATTGCTGTGTCGCTGCGGCGTCGTTAATTAGTTTTAGTCTCCGTGCATTCATTATTTAATAGCTATTTAACGTTTATCTATTTAATATTTATTGGTTTCGACATTTTTATAAGTATAATATGTACTTATTTTCAAAATTCACATAAAAACCAAATAATAGAATTTTTACTAAGCAGTGGTTTTAATGCTTTAACATATGAACAAAACAATGTATGTTATACAATTAAAGTCTCCTCAGAATATTAACTGACGAGCCGCTACAGCATAATGTCTTACCTATACGTACTAAGACCAAAATTGAACTATGTACTATTGTATCATGTGCATAGTGATTTTTTATACGTATCGATTTCGAAATTTCCCCTATTATACCTGACCGTCTCCGCCATGGTTGAAATATTTAAATATTACAACCATTATAATAGTCCTCAATCAAAATCGTTTTTCGTATGTAATCTTTAGCATTGAATAAGGTTTAATAAGCATTTTAAGTCCCCCAGCGCCGGCGATTCTCTGGTACATGTTATTACTTACAAAATATAACATAATATTTATTGTCTGTTTCAGGCGTTTCGACGGACAAAAATGACTTCGTGGGAATATGGATAAATCGTTAACAACTGAATATTTTCGGATTATTTCTTTTTTAACTGATAAACGATGACATTCTACAGCCCTCATCAAAATCCTATTTTTTATTTGATTTTAAATAATAGTATAAAATATCTTGTAAATAAAGATAAAAATTGTCATTTTTTTGAAGACTTATTATTAAGTTTGATAATAAAATATTGAACAACGGAATTCGTTGATGGCTGTTGAATATTTTCCTGTATCAATTGAAAACAAAATAAACAAATTTGGTCGATTCTAGAGGGCAGGTTAACTATTCCCGTAAAATGTGTTTTAGAGGACAAAATCACATTATCGCCGCGCAACTAAAAACATCCATTACATGTATAAGTGACATACTCAATGACAAGCTACATTCAGATCCTACGACACAGCAGAGCGGTTACCTACTTTCCTTTTTTTTTTAAATTACAATACTTATAATTATATTATTATAATCATAGGTAACATGTTTATTGTCCACGTTTTTTACTTAAGCTCATGTCTGTTTATTTATCTAAAGACATTTATTTATGTATTCTATTCCAAGACAATTGTATATTGGTAATTTTAATTTAATTCATTCAACTTAATTTAAAGTTGAATGATTTTCAATTCATTTCATCAATGTATAAGTTGTTGATTTTTAAAATAATAGACATGGTTGTGAGCAAAAATTTTATTTTATAAACTTAAATAGATAGCTACTTAGTTTTATTTTTAACAAATAAAATTGTGTAGTTGGACATTTTTTAAGCCTACTATCAAATTTGTTTTTATAAAGTTACGTAATTTAAAATCAACTTGCTTATAAATAAACAAACAGAATATATTATAAAATTAAAAATGTAAGTACCCGTAAGAAATAAACTTATGTAGGTACAAAAATAAAATGAATTATTTGTATGTTATATTATAAGAGATGTAAGTTAGAATATTTTCTTGAATTTATGCTTATACAATTTAGATAAGATAATATTTTTGCTTGATGCTTGGACTATATGTATCACATTTTTAAATATTTATAGATAACACGTATATTATCAATAAAGTGAAGTGAAAAAACTATTCAAAATTATGACAGTGTTTGCTTACCTGTAGATATTAAGTTGACCATAATACATCCTACGCCACTCAAGAAGAATGCAAACGCTTGGGTAGGTCGTCTGGGAAAGTGTTCCATGAAGTACCACGATGATAAAAATGCTGGTATCTCTACAGCGTTTACAAGCATAAAGTTCAAGTATTTGTTACCGGACAACTCCACTGAAGTTAACGAGAGGCCGTAATAAACTAATGTTATTGTCATCCTGTAGTCAAATAAATATATTGAGATATTTATTCACATCAAAACGAGAAGGTTGAGACCATTTAATAATTGATTATATAAATTCATACAGGTATTGTATTTTAAATTAGTAGGTACTATACTAACCAGCAAAACGAACAGTTGACTACAAGTATCAAAATATCAATTGAACTAAATATTTTTTTCAATAATCTACAACTACACACTTGGTTATTGTCGAGCTGAAATGATTTAGAGAAAAATATTAAGTTAATTAATTTATATTATTATACAATCGAGGGTTATAATATTTTAACGGAGTTATAATTCATAAGTGATGTATATATTAAAAAATAAAATATAATATTAACTATTAATACCGTATTTGTTGCGTTGCTACTGGCTATAGTGTTGGCGATCAGAGCTTCTTTGACGCAAGCTGGAAGTGTATTGCCATTAGATTCAGCAATTTTTGATAGAACTATGGCCATTTCTTCAATTCGGTTTTTGGTTTGAAGCCATCTTATGGACTCTGGCACATACCTATATTAGAATAGTATCCAGACAAGTACGTTTAAATGTTATATATTATGTACAATGAACTTGTGTTTGTGTACAATTGTAGTAATAACTAATAATTACCAAATATATCCTAATATAAGTAAACCGGGTAAGTTGACTACCCTAAGCATTATACGCCAATCAAGAATCATGTAGGCTGAAAAACCCATTATAACTGCACCCATGGGATAGAAACAGCCCATCAAAGTACTCACGGTAGCTCTCGATTTTCGACTGACTAGTTCTATACCTAAAATATACATAGAAATTATTTAAAGTTATAACATTGATGTTTAAGGAACCACCGAGGCATTGAATCCAAACCAAATTTATTTTCAAATTTAACAGACCCAAACCAAATTAAACTTGCAATTTATTATTTAAGCCACAAATGAACTTCAACAATTATTTCAATTAATAATTGAAAAATATTGACAAAACAAGTATGAAAAAAAAATTTTTTTTCTTTTTATATTCAAATTTTTTTCCATTGGTTTGACTTTCAAAAGAACCATAATAGCATGGGTAAATAGCAGACTACATTTGACTTTTGGTAGGTTAACCAATTCAATTGTTAACAAATTAATATATTTTATAATTGAAAAACAATAATATTTAAACTCGATGTGATGAGTCAAAGATTTATTACAAATTTTAATTATAAACGGCAAAATCGGGGAAATGGAATTACTATTTGAAAATGTGCCTTTAAAATTTCACATTAACCAGTGTAGTAGGTTCAATAAACAAATTTTATCCTAAGTGTATACTTGTGAACCTGAACCAGCCCATTTGAGTCCAATAGGCAAATTAATCAATAGCCGAGAGTAAAATTAACGGCAACTACTGTAAATGTCTATAATATATATTTTACAACCTACAATTTTTGAAAGCTCTACATTAGTTAAATTTAGTAATTAAATATAAATATTTACAATTTACTTTGTAGCGTATTTCGTGATTACGGGGATTTGATTTCTTACCTAATACGAAGGTGGCAGCATACACTCCGCAGGAAGCCATGGACTCCAAAAATTCGCAAAGTAGGAATGAATAGTAATTGACAGTGAACGATTTGAGCGTGCCGAGTATGGCCGATGTAACTGACCCCAGTATTAACATAAACTTGCGTCCAGACCTTCATATTTATAAAAATAAAAGTATCTATATAATTTAATATTATAGAACAAACTAAGTATAAATAATAGTCCTTTTTTATAAAAGTCACATTTTATTACGCTAAATAACAACTGTTTTTATCTTATAGGTGGAAAATAAATTGAAAATGTATCTTAAGAATACGATTATAATTGTAGGATTTTTTTAAAATTATTTAGGAGTGCAGTCTTGATATGTGTGATTTTAAATATGCAGAAGAAGTAATACTTATTATTAGAAATACTTTGGGACCTAGGTGAAATGTGTCAATTAATCGATTGCTTTGAATAAGCGATTGGTTTGACTTGTACTATAAAAAAAAATTGAAAAATACATGAAAAATATATGCGTGTATGCATATTTAACTATGTAGATATAGTTTAAAAAAGTATAGGTACAAATGTATTTATTTTACTACATTATTTAAAATATGTATCTGTTGAAGTTTGTTTTTTTATGTCGAGTAACTCCATGACCATATTTTCGTACAAGTAATGCTGTTCAAAACCTATGTACAGGAAGATCATTCTTATATGTATAGATACTGTTCTTACGATAAAGTAAAAATAAACATAACAACAGCAACAATAAGATTAAACGATTAAAGTACACTTGTTATTACTAGTTATAATAACTGATCGTCTTCATATTGTTTCAATAACTCGAATGTCCGTGTTGCTAATAAGTGGCATCCGGTACATACTACTTACGTCCGAAATAATTATCAGTAGGTAAGTTACGTATCGCAAAAAAAGTTCAAATAGGGTCATAGCCTATTTTCGCCCCGGTATACCTTTTTAGACAGCCTAGTTGCGTCCAAACATAAATAAATCATAAGCATTCAGTATTACTAACTATTACTAACAGAATATAATATATATATTAGCATATGATTCCACCACATTTGATTACATTACATTAAATTAACACATCACATTAAAAAAAAACAAGATTATAGAAACTATTTATAGATTATGTAAAAGACATGTTAAAATAATTGTGCATGGTTAAAAAAATATTTTATTGTAAAATTCTGAATTGTCAATTAAAACTATAATACAATTAATTATATGCATTTTTAACTACAACATAAAACGAGTAAACTGAAAAATGTTCTAAAAAATGTTGGTTGAAATTTGAATTTTGTAACATTTGTATTAGCTTGAAATACTGATACCGAATACTTGATTGTTAGTCGCAGACATAACATAGACAATTTACACATTATTGCCTCATAATATGAACAATATTATTGTAACTCATAATATTTATGGACGGAACTCGGTGGTGACTTTAATGTCAGGTAAGAAAAGTAATGTGGTTGAGTTGAGTCCCCAAAACGGGCAAGAGCAATACATTTATAATTATGTATCTATAACATCAATGTATATTCTACATGTCTTACAGTACATAATATAGGCTGTAATATCTGTACTATAAAAATACACTCACTTGTCGGAAATATATCCTGCTAAAGGAATGCCAATGATCTGACCAATGCTATTGACGGTTCCCACCATAATGAGTTTCCATTTGTTTTTCTCGCACATTATACCAAACTATGTTTACATAATGGATATTTTCAAAGGTGCATAGTGAAAATATATACAATTAAGAAAGCATACTTACATCGTTCACTATAGTTCTTTCAGTTTTATCAAACACCCATTTGTTGCACTTCATTTTAGAACTGAGGTTGAATGATTCTGGATTACACGTGCTATTGGCAGAGATACCTGTTCTGTTAGTCCGTGGTTCAAAGCGGTACATAAGACATTTGTAAGGCTCATTAGAATTTTCTTTAAAAGGTATCGCTTGGTTTAACCAGTCCGGATTATATGTTGAGTTGTCGGTGTCGCACTGCGGGATTTCGCATCTAAAAGAATTATAGTTACAGTAGTTAGTATTTACGTTGATCCGTACATACATTTATTTAAAAATATTCCATAGGAGTTTCTAGTTGTATTTCTTTCATAATCTTAAGAGGACGTTACACCACCATGTGTTGTATTTGTCTTACAACATAAAAAAAACTATTCTACGCAAGACAACTTTAATATACTCAATCTGTATATATTATAAAATTACCAAAATTCCACTACATATAGGGAAGCACTTTATCTGTGTGGTAGATTTTTTTATTATTAGGATAACATAAATACAACTAAAGTTATCAGTTTAGTAACGTTCGGCTTTTTTCATTTAATTACTATAAATTATTGGTTACTACTTTTAAAGAAATAAAAAAGGCCCAGATAAAGTTTTTCCTTGTGCGTTGTAGAACTTTGAAAATTCTACTATAAATACGAAGGGAGTATACGTTCATGAAGTTGGCCCTCCGACTTCGGACTTGTGCTAATATTTAGCAACCTGTTAACTTTTTTTTATTAGTATGCGTGATATTATGTAAGTTTAGATATTTATAATTATTTTGTTGTACCTTCCTGAAAAATTGAATATACTGTACTATGTTTTGTTTCTAAACGTCTAAACAAATGAATAAATATTACAAATGTATTATATTGTGGCTGGCCCACAATGAGATACGTTACCCTGATACTCCTGTCACAATTTCCATAGTAAATTATATCATTAGTTAGTAACCAATTCGCAACCATTTGTAACCATAAATTCGGAATTCGTAACTTCATTTTGTATGTGGAAAATCCAACTTTCTAATTGGAGTTCTGCTGTAACGTTACACCAGCACCCCAATTCAAGGGTATTACAGTTATTAAAACCATAATAGTACCACTGTTTCCCTGAATCAAATAAAACTTAGAAATAAAAAAAAAATGAGTTTTTCACATACAATTATATGTAGTTGGATTCCATTCTCACATCTCAGCATTACGCGATAAATTAAATAAGCACGTTGCTCACATTGTGTAAATGATAAAAAATATTATGATTAATAAATTACTGCAATTACATAATAAGCTGTTATCGTTAAAGTATAATACTATTATAGTCGGATGGTATAAATTGCATACGGTCAATTCATGAAAGTCCATTTAACCATCCCCAACCCCCCAATTTAAAACTTAACATTTTTTTATCATTTGTTTGTAGCCGGTTTGTATTGGTTTTTTAAATCAAAATTTTGGCGGGGGGAGGACGCCCTAATTTTGAAGTTTTATCCCATTAAAATTTTTTGATTAGGCTTTATTTCATTGAATATGATTTGTTTAAACAAATTACATTTTTTATCGAATTAATATTATACATAAATAATATTTAATCATTAAAATGATGAATACAATTTAGTCATGAAAATGATTTAATTTATAGAACTGATACTTAAATATAACAAATAAAAATATAATTTTTAAAATAATACTAAGTATAAATGACACATGAAAATTATTATTAAAATAATTGGTAAAATTGTTGATAAAAATTAATCAATTTACCCGTAATTACAATTTTAATACTTTTTATGTATCAACTATATATTTTTTTTCTATCTATTTCTCATATTAATTCGATAAAAGTTGTAATTTGTACAAACAATAGAGAAATCTAAATTCAATAAAAAGGACAAGTTGATTAAAAAAATTTAATTTCTTACAAAATCTAAATTAAATTTAAAACCTAAATTCAACAAAAAAAAAAAATGGGTAAGATGATGTCGATCTACTGTAAATTAGGTGTCTAATAGGAAATCGCTGTAATGGATGGTATTAAATTTGAACTCAATGATATCAATACATTGTATACGAAAAACGATTCTGAGCGGACTAGGTTGTCAGTGTAAGATATTTTATATTGTTATTACTTATTATTAGTATGGTAGAGCCGATAAGTTGAATTAATATTATTCTTAAATTATCAGTGATTCTGGAAAAATATTAAACATACTCATGTAAAATTGGGCTGTTTTGAAACCGAATTACAACAATATGAAAAACTATATTCTTTGTGTTAATATATTATATTTTAAGTTTAAATTTGAACTTGAAATATCGGTAAAAATAGCGGTATTTATAGATGTTTTAGATTTTTTATTTACGGAAAAATCGTCTTAATATAATTGCTATTGTTACAATATATCAAGAGTCTTGTGTTAAATTGTCACAGTGACCATATTATGCAACCATAACTTTTTGTTCGTCTAACTATGTGTTTGATCGGCGTGTGGATATGAATTGTTGCGAGAAGTAAAATTCTACAATCTATCTATATATTAATATTTTTTAAATATTTTGGTTGATTGGTTAATCGGCAGATCAGGTTTAAAAATGCATCAAATCGAATTTTAGTATATTGCCTACCAAGGTGGCTGTCGGTGAGTTACACTTATAGCCACGCATCGGCACGTACACAATCAAAATAATTAATAAAATTAAAATTAAACATATTATTCATATAAAGTGTGCACCTAGTGGGGTCCTGAATCCACCGCATATCCTACCTGATAATATACTGCACACATTATCACAAGCGAGTAGTCTCATATAGAGTTGGCATTTTTAAAGGCCAACGAAGTTCAAAGGCTCAGTTAGGAAAGTTATAATAATGATATAATAGATCTTTGAATCGACACGACACTACGACAGTTAATTTGTCTACTGACGATCGTACGTAGCAACGGCTGCAACCGCTATATTTATGACGTAGAAATATTTGCCAAAATTATGAACTACAAACTATCATAACATTTTTATGAAGTTAAGAGTTTTATGGAAAACACCGAAAAAAATTATCGAAAAATAATACTTTTGTTATCGATATGCGATAAACGTGTTTAACTATACAAATTATAATTACAACTATAGAATCATTTTTTAATAACAATATGTGTGTTGTGTATAGAATCATTAGAATCATTTGCAAATATTATAAATTATTTTTGTTTTATTTATAATTCAACTACTAATACTATTTATTATGAAGCACTTGATAGCATTAAGTGAAATAAAATTTTTTCTTCCTTAATACAATGTGTGTTGATTTAAGAATTTCATTTTGTGAAAGCAAAAACTACACACGGGGAAGCTGGGTAATTCAGCTAATTTAATAAAAAAAAAAAATTAGCTTTTTATTTGTTTAAATACTGTTATAGGTACTTAACGAATTATTTTCCAATTAAACAAATAAAATCTAAGATATTTATATACATATAGGAGACCACCCCTATTCACTCATCAACACCCATACCAAACTGTTGTGTATAGAGACTTTAAATTTTGTACAGAGGTTCCTTAAGCAATTCAGAGGAGCACTAAGAAAGGATGTTTCAAAATTCGACCTCTAAGGGGGTAAAAAGGGGTTTTTTAAAGTAAATAATATATAATATACGGGAAACGCCGTGGCGGGACAGCTAGTATGTATATAAAATAGTATTTGTATAATATATAGATAATATTAAATTACAAAATCAATCATATTATATACAAATTATACACTAATATTACAAATATATAATATACCTTATATGCATATAAGTGATTATGTACAATACATGTTTCAATTTAAACTTAATTTGTAATTACTGTGTTCAATTTACGGTCAGATTGATTAATATACTGTATAAATATGTATAACTAGGTAAAATGTCTCCAAGTTTACCTGTATTTAATGTCACTGGCTGTAATGGCATAACTAAGTGGTGATATGTTTGAGTACATGAGCACGAGCCCCATTAGAGCACATACAGTCACTTGATATGAGCCCAATCCAAAGTTGCTAAGGATCTCGTCTAAATCCATTGTGAATCCGGAGCTTATACTTCTTGATGTGTAAGTACTATAAATAACAAAAAAAAATAATTATAAAACTATGTCAATATCATGAAAATCATACAATGTTTTACATGATTCATGATGTAACATTGATTTAAAACAATTAGATTCTTATATATTCTAAACTCATACTAAAGAGTGTCAAAAATAAAAAAATTCTAAAAAGCTATGTCATAAAAATGTGATATCAAGTATAATATAATATAATTTAATAAATCACAATATTTTATTTAACCTAGAATGCCTAGTTTCTCTAATGAAGAAGTTCATAACATTGTTATAGCCAAGGCTGGTATTGACAATGTAGGTAAAAAATGAATAATCCTAATGTCTTATAATTTATAATAATTATTAAAACACCATGTTCACTATTTTTTAAATATTTCTATGAAAGTTAAAATGTACATTTATTTATTAAGATACTTATATTAATTTTTTTATATGTATTATTTTATTTTCTACAAACTGAAATAAATGATGACTTCGCTTTTACAATTCAAATTAATTATAAGTGTTATTTTGTTTGCTTGATAATGATAAAGTTAATTATATTATTAATTTATACTAATTTTCACTTTTCAGTGTTCGGGAAGAATGTGTGTTAATTCATAGTTAGTGTACTGAGATTATTACATACAAATACAGTGTTAACATGAAAAATATTCATATTTTTAGAGAATTTGAACGTTTTAGATACCTCATGGTGATTAAATTAATATTTAGAGGTTCATATAAAATAAATTAACATTTTTTTAATCTAGTTAATAACACAGTTGTACCTACATACAAATTTAAAAAAATGTTAATGATTGGTACATTTTTACTATGTTTTTCATATATTGTTATAGACTCTAGTACATCCAGTGATGCCTAATTTCTATATATTGTAATTTATTGTGAAATAAATAATCAAATAAACTCATTTATTTGTTGAATAAACATGTTCCTCTAAAAAAAATTTTGATTGTGAACGTGAACGAGTTCAGTTTTAAAGTGGAATTTCCGAACACTGCTTTCTCGCATTATTTAAATTGGAGACAATTATGTATTATTAATAATTAAACAAAATATTCACAAAATTGTATGGTGATAAAATTAAAGGTAATTTTTGTCTCTATGAGATTTTCATTGTCATTATTAGTGTAAGGAAATGACTTAAAATTAATTTTAGCAAGATTCAGCATGTGGGTATAAGGTATTAAGGTAGTATAGTTTGGTACCAATATTACAAAATTAATAAACAATTTATTTTAATATTATTGAATCAATAAGAAGGTTGAAAAAAAACGGGTAAGTGGACTTATAGAATGTAGATAAATATTGTTGTGATTGCATACATAACATAGGACGACATATAGTATTTTTAGATGGCATACGACTCTAGTATTTATTGCGTATATAGCATACGACACAGCTACCAAACTATTTTTTTTAGGAAAGGTAGCCAAACTTATAAGGAATCTTGTATTAAATTTCTAAATCTGAGGTATAAAAAGTAAATTTTTTATGAATTTCTAACTTAAAATAATTTGCTAATTTTCGTGATTCTTACGAATTTTATCAAAATTCTACTCGTAAATTCAAACACTCATAAACAGTTATTGTGTATCAAAACTTTTTTTGTAATGTCCATTAACAACAACTTACGAGGAACTATTTGTGTTACACTTACAAGTTTCTTGACAGAGAAAAAGTTATAATCTACATTAGTTTAAAATAAATAAATAATAATAGGAATTTTCTCATGGCTATAAATAGTTCAATACGAATCTAAATATGTTAACAATTGTATGGTGTACAGAAAATTATAACACCAGCAATTAGTGAACATTTCATGTATCTACTGTCATTTTTTTAGAGTTACACTAAAAACCAACATTGATATTTTTGAAAATTGGTTTTGCTTAAAAATTCCCGTTTTTCCTTAATTTTTTGTTTGTTTATCCTGTCGTTATTGAAAACTATTGGGAATTTTAAATTTTGACCTCCGGAATGCACCAACTAGATTCCCTTTCTTACCAGAAAAGATGCTGTTGAAGAAAATCGAAGCTTTTTACTGCTCCAGACCATGATGAACTTTCACGTCATTTACATTAATGTTGTTAATGGACATTAGAAAAATAATAGTATTTTAAGAGCGTTTGAATTTAGATTTTTGACAACATTCGTAAAAATCACGAAAATTAGAAAACTATTTTGTGTTAGAAGTTCATAAAAATGTTTATATTTATATTTAAGATTTAAAACTTTAATACATGATTCCTTATAAGTTTGTCTACGTTTATCAAAAAAAAAAAAATTATTTACCGACATGTCAAATTAAATTTTTATTAGTGTTTGAAGTTGAAATTTTTCCAACTTTTTATAATCACTCGATTTCTCATGTAGTGATTTTCTTATTTTGTTTAATTCAAAAATTAAATACTGTAGACATTTGAAATTTACACAATATGTTTTTTTTTAGCAATTTATATATTTTATAAAATATTCAAAACATCCAAACCGTTATGACGGACACACAAAAAAATATAAATAGATAAAAAAAACACTCATTGTAAAATCAATACATAAATCGTTCCGCTCAAAATCAAAAATTAAGTTCAAAATGCTTCAAATGTTATTCCCCGACATTTTACTATTTGCCATTAGTGAGTTTTCGATCCAAGACGACATTAGGTAACTTCAGCTGATATATTAAAAAAGAAAATTTCTAATCTTAAAAATAAATTTGTTTTACAGACTCGGAAACTTAGTTATTGGGAACGACTTTAACGAAAACACAAAATCATTTACCAACGACTCGAATACATGATTCAAAGGTTATTATGGTACTATCTATTTATCATAGATTAAGGCTCAACAAAAACATATTAAGAAAAATGTCACTGTTATCGTAAGGAAAAATATTAATAATACGTACCTATAATAAATGAACTGGAAGATCACGACGTAAACACACTTGTTGACGGTTGATAACAACTAGTAACTACTAACGAGTGACCAGTGAGTTGTGCGTATGATAGGGCCTGTAAGTCTTAGTGTGTACAGCTAGCAAACAGTGTAGCCAACGTTACTCGCATGTACGGTGGTCGGTGATATTAAGTATACCCTTAGCCATAGACGTAAAATAAAATATATCACGAATAATAGCTGTTGTACACTTTTACATACAATATTGAATCCAACAGTTGTGAAAGAGAGGCAGACTATGTAAGTCTATTATATGCCTATGCTAAAAATCCATAATTTATGGATATTATATATTGAATATCATCCCTGGTCTATTATATTATATGCGTAAGCCTCTAGCCATAGACCTTATTCTAATGGACAAGAAATTAGTGTATGGAAAACTTAATTTCGAGGGAGCTCAATCTTTACTCGTTTACTTAATGTGAACATATATAGCTAATTGTATTTTGTAATCACGACAGCCTACATCACTGTGAGAGGTTTGCACGCAGTTTTGTCTAGTAGTTTAAGGTCTATGGGTCTATGAACCTAGCTCGGCATATTCATAGCATATATGATAGATAATAGACCTGGAATTTATGGGCTGAGCTTTCTTATTCCCTCGCCTATTGAACTCTACAGCCATTGTCCGGAAAACTGTAAGGTAAAATAACATGGAGAAAAGAGTTGTATTATTTTACTCTCAATAGGACCGGGATTTTTTTAATAGTACTATCAAGCCTATGGTTTTTTTTATGAGTTATTTGATGGATACAAATGACAGTTTATTTCTTTATCCATCATATTTTACCTAAATCTTGATTCTGATGTTGGATGTATTTTTTTCTTTAAAAGCAGTTCATCTATAACAAAATCTATGACATACAGACGATTTAAGGTATAGTACACTAGAAATGACAAGGTGGGAGGGTGAAGGAGGATAGCCCTTAAAATGTTCCCCTGTTATCATCAACTCTGGGTTGAATGTTTTCAGCGTTATTCATGGTGTTATTTGGAGCCCTTAAGTCCATGTTTCATACAAATGATGTTATCAATTCTCAACGGCCATTGTAACCTCTCGAACTTGACTCTCGGACATAATGGCCTCGGCTAAGCTAATCGTTTCCTGTCCATTATATCTTAGTCAGTGGGCATGGATAATAAAAACGTCGTTAATTGATAATGAATTGAGGTAATTTGCTTACACTTATGTATAATATGATTTCATATATGTGGATATTGATACTTGATATGGGTATATTGTATACACAATACAGCAGAGGTTCTCAAACTATGGGCACGACTATATTTTTAGTGGGTCGAGTAATATTTTTAAATTAAAATTTTTTTAGATATGTGTTTCTTTTCGTCGATATTTAATTTTAGTTTTATCACAAATCATTATCTGCGTTTGTGACAATTATGAATTTACTGCAGCTGTGTCAACACGACGCTAGCAGATTAGTAGTTAGTGAAAAGATAGCAATACATTGTTGTAGTAAATTCATCGATAAAAATTAAAAATTAAATATATTGTTCTTCGATTCAAAATGATTCTTTTTTTATTTTTATTTGGTAACAACAAACAAAAAAAGGTCATTGATGTTATTGTGGGCCTCAAAAATAAAAATGTGGGTCGTTCCGTATCAAGTTTGAGAACCTCATCAATTATCTGGGCTCAATTAGAATCATTGATCCCCGCTAATAAGACGTTAAGTTCTATTCATGTTCTTATTGGCAGAGACACAAAGAACAATATACTCATAGACAGAGCATAATGGTAACTGCCAAGTCAACGTGTGTAACGCTGGTTGTGTTGTTTCACACTTCTGTGAATGTGAGTAAACCACGCTAGTTTTTGTTTAGTTAAAAACAGCATAAATATGTAGTTATTGTATTATATCATGATTCGTGAATATTATTTCTTACAAGTCAAAAAAATTAAACTAATTATGAATGAACTTGTATGAATTATTAATAGTAATTATTCCAGTACTGAGATGTGGGGGGGGGGACGCAATTTTTTGTTAAAGT